ATTCTCTCTTCACTCTCTTCAGATCCATTTTTTTGTTTTTTTTCTGCTTATTTTTTTCAAATGGGATCCGAAGGATTTTTTTTCTTCAGATCTTTCGGTGTTCAGATCTGCACAACCCCGATCCGACGGTTTTTTAACACCCTAGATCCGACGGTTTTTTATCACCCTAGATCCGACGGATTTTTAGCCCTGCAGATCCGACGGTTTTTTGATTTTTCACCACACAATTCCCCATGGATTTTTGATTATCAAAATCAAGCAGGTTGTGGAACCCGGAAGATCTGAACAAAATTCAAATAGGATGCAATGCCAAACAATGATATGATCCTTTACACATTTTTCAGCAAAGCCACGAAGTTTCCAAATGAAATTGTTTGCTCTTCGAAAGCAATTCTCTGACATCATGGGCCAAGGTTTGGCTGGATGATGGTGCTGACAGTTTCCAGGCAGGATTCAGGGCATGGGAAGCCAGGAATGAAGGGTTGCAAGAAATAATGCGGGAGGACATTGCCCTATCACTAGTCACTAGCACTCTCACAGTGCAATGGGCTTTCACAGCATATTCCTAGCACTCTCACAGTGCAATGATCTCCTAGCACTCTCACAGTGCAATAATCTGTCACAGCATATTCCTAGCACTCTCCTGGCATTGAAACAGTGCAATCATCTGTCACAGCATATTCCTAGCACTCTCACAATGCAATAAGCTGTCACAGCAATTTCCAAGCCACAAACTCAAAATGCAAATGCACATACTGAGGTTAGTACCTTGCAAGCAGGCTTGAAGTCGCCTGGCCGGTGAAACACATCCAGAACCGGCTCTGTGTATAGTAGTTACCCAGCAAAAGTTCAGGTAAGCACTCTCAAAGTGCACACTCTCACAGTGCACACTCTCACAGTGGTGGGCTTGGTTGGCATTCAATATGATCTGATCTAACCTGAAATTTAGACATGGCCATATGGCATCTAATGTCGCCAGGCTCTTGAGCACACACACTCTCACAGCGATGGGTTTGCCTTGAACCGATGACGCAATTTACCAAATCTATTGGAAGAGGGGCGCTCTCACAGCACTCTCACAGTGCCTATCCAAATCTACACATCCTCACAGCAGTGATCAACATCATGTAATGAACCTTATGATGGTTTTTTTTCATTATATTATTTTCTTTCTCTGATAGTTTTGTAATTTTCATTTTTTCCAAATTTTCACTCATCCAAATGCTGTAATTTCATTAATTTTTCAGACTTTTTATAAATGGACACAGACTTTTTATAACAACAAAGCCTTTAGGGCGTTCAAGCCTGCCGTTTGCCAGCTTTAAAACCCCTACAACGCTTCAAACCCTTAAAATCCCTCGCGGCTGCTTCCGGCCACAAGCACTAGCTGTTAGAGCGTTGCAGCCTGCCGTTTGCCTCCATAGCCCTCTGTTGTTAGGGCGTTCAGGCCTGCCGTTTGCCAGCCTTAAAACTTCAAAACGCTTCCAACCCTTAATATCCGTCGCGGCAGCTTCCACCAAGCACTCCGGCCACAAGCATTTGTTGTTAGAGCGTTGCAGCCTGCCGTTTGCCTCCATAGCCCTCTGTTGCTAGGGCGTTGAAGCCTGCCGTTTGCCAGCTTAAACCCCTTAAAACCCTTAAAATCCCGCGCGGCTCCTTCCACCAAGCACTCCGGCCACGAGTATTTGTTGTTAGAGCGTTGCAGCCTGCCGTTTGCCTCCATAGCCCTCTGTTGTTAGGGCGTTCAAGCCTGCCGTTTGCCAGCCTTAAAACTTCAAAACGCTTCAAAACCTTAATATCCGTCGCGGCAGCTTCCATCAAGCACTCCGGCCACAAGCATTTGTTGTTAGAGCGTTGCAGCCTGCCGTTTGCCTCCATAGCCCTCCGCTCCGAGGGCGTTCAAGCCTGCCGTTTGCCAGCCTTAAAACCCCTAAAACGCTTAAAACCCTTAAATCCGTCGCCGCCGCTTCCACAAAGCACTCTGGCCACAAGCATTTGTTGTTAGAGCGTTGCATCCTGCCGTTCACCTCCATAGCCCTCTGTTGTTCGAGCGTTGCAGCCTGCCGTTTGCCTCCATAGCCCTCTGTTGTTAGGGAGTTCAAGCCTGCCGTTTGCCAGCCTTAAAACCTCTAAAACGCTTAAAACCCTTAACATCCCTCGCGGCAGCTTCCACCAAGCACTCTGGCCACAAGCATTTGTTGTTAGAGCGTTGCAGCCTGCCGCTTGCCTCCATAGCCCTCTGTTGTTAGAGCGTTCCAGCCTGCAGTTTGCCAGCCTTAAAACATTTAAAACGCTTAAAACCCTTAACATCCCTCGCGGCAGCTTCCACCAAGCACTCTGGCCACAAGCATTTGTTGTTAGAGCGTTGCTTCCACCAAGCACTCTGGCCACAAGCATTTGTTGTTAGAGCGTTGCAGCCTGCCGTTTGCCTCCATAGCCCTCTGTTTTTAGAGCGTTCCAGCCTGCTGTTTGCCAGCCTTAAAACCCCTACAACGCTTAAAACCCTTAACATCCCTCGCGACTGCTTCCGGCCACAAGCACTAGCTGTTAGAGCGTTGCAGCCTGCTGTTTGCCTCCATAGCCCTCTGTTGTTAGGGAGTTCAAGCCTGCCGTTTGCCAGCCTTAAAACATCAAAACGCTGAAAACCCTTAACATCCCTCGCGGCAGCTTCCACCAAGCACTCTGGCCACAAGCATTTGTTGTTAGAGCGTTGCAGCCTGCCGCTTGTCTCCATAGCCCTCTGTTGTTAGAGCGTTCCAGCCTGCTGTTTGCCAGCCTTAAAACCTCTAAAACGCTTAAAACCCTTAACATCCCTCGCGGCAGCTTCCACCAAGCACTCTGGCCACAAGCATTTGTTGTTAGAGCGTTGCTTCCACCAAGCACTCCGGCCACAAGCATTTGTTGTTAGAGCGTTGCAGCCTGCTGTTTGCCTCCATAGCTCTCTGTTTTTAGGACGTTAACGCCTGCCGTTTGCCAGCCTTAAAACCCCTACAACGCTTCAAACCCTTAAAATCCCTCGCGACTGCTTCCGGCCACAAGCACTAGCTGTTAGAGCGTTGCAGCCTGCCGTTTGCCTCCATAGCCCTCTGTTGTTAGGGAGTTCAAGCCTGCCGTTTGCCAGCCTTAAAACTTCAAAACGCTGAAAACCCTTAACATCCCTCGCGGCAGCTTCCACCAAGCACTCTGGCCACAAGCATTTGTTGTTAGAGCGTTGCAGCCTGCCGCTTGCCTCCATAGCCCTCTGTTGTTAGAGCGTTCCAGCCTGCTGTTTGCCAGCCTTAAAACCTCTAAAACGCTTAAAATCCTTAACATCCCTCGCGGCAGCTTCCACCAAGCACTCTGGCCACAAGCATTTGTTGTTAGAGCGTTGCTTCCATCAAGCACTCCGGCCACAAGCATTTGTTGTTAGAGCGTTGCAGCCTGTCGTTTGCCTCCATAGCCCTCTGTTGTTAGGGCGTTCAAGCCTGCCGCTTGCCAGCCTTAAAACCCCTAAAACGCTTAAAACGCTTTAAATCCCTCGCGGCAACTTCCACCAAGCACTCTGGCCACAAGCATTTGTTGTTAGAGCGTTGCAGCCTCCTGTTTGCCTCCATAGCCCTCTTGCCAGCCTTAAAACCCCTAAAACGCTTCAAACCCTTCGCTTCGATCAGCCTGCCGTTTGCCTCCATAGCCCTCTGTTGTTAGAGCGTTGCAGCCTGCCGTTTGCCTCCATAGCCTATCCGTCGCGGCAGCTTCCACCAAGCACTCTGGCCACAAGCATTTGTTGTTAGAGCGTTGCAGCCTGCCGTTTGCCTCCATAGCCCTCTGTGGTTAGGGCCTTCAAGCCTGCCGTGCGCCAGCCTTAAAACCCCTAAAACGCTTAAAACCCTTAAAAACCCTCGAAGCCGCTTCCACCAAGCACTTTGGCCGCAAGCATTTGTTGTTAGAGCGTTGCAGCCTGCCATTCGCCATCATAGCCCTCTGCTGTTAGAGTGTTGCAGCCTGCCGTTTGCCTCCATAGCCCTCTGTTGTTAGGGCGTTCAAGCCTGCCGTTTGCCAGCCTTAAAACCCCTAAAACGCTTAAAATCCCTCGCGGCAGCTTCCACCAAGCACTCTGGCCACAAGCATGTGTTCTTAGAGCGTTGCAGCCCCCTGTTTGCCTCCATAGCCCTCTTGCCAGCCTTAAAACCTCTAAAACGCTTCAAACCCTTCGCTTCGATCAGCCTGCCGTTTGCCTCCATAGACCTCTGTTGTTAGAGCGTTGCAGCCTGCCGTTTGCCTCCATAGCCCTCTGTTGTTAGGGCCTTCAAGCCTGCCGTTTGCCAGCCTTAAAACCCTTAAAACCCTTAAAATCCCTCGCGGCTCCTTCCACCAAGCACTCCGGCCACAAGTATTTGTTGTTAGGGCGTTGCAGCCTGCTGTTTGCCTCCATAGCCCTCTGTTGTTAGGGCGTTCAAGCCTGCCGTTTGCCAGCCTTAAAACATCAAAACGCTTCAAACCCTTAATATCCGTCGCGGCAGCTTCCACCAAGCACTCTGGCCACAAGCATTTGTTGTTAGAGCGTTGCAGCCTGCCGCTTGCCTCCATAGCCCTCTGTTGTTAGAGCGTTCAAGCCTGCTGTTTGCCAGCCTTAAAACCTCAAAAACGCTTAAAACCCTCAACATCCCTCGCGGCAGCTTCCACCAAGCACTCTGGCCGCAAGCATTTGTTGTTAGAGCGTTGCAGCTTGCCCTTCGCCTCCATAGCCCTCTGTTGTTCGAGCGTTGCAGCCTGCCGTTTGCCTCCATAGCCCTCTGTTGTGAGGGCGTTCAAGCCTGCCGTTTGCCAGCCTTAAAACCTCTAAAAATCTTAAAACCCTTAACATCCCTCACGGCAGCTTCCACCAAGCACTCCGGCCACAAGCATTTGTTGTTAGAGCGTTGCATCCTGCCGTTTGCCTCCATTGGGGGGGCTCCATATGGGATTGGTGGTATTGCTCCCGTAGGATGTTGGTCCGCAGGCTGCCAAGGTCCTCGATGGGCATGAGTGAACGGGGAGACCGGCTGAGCCCAGAAGGCTGCACATCTTCGAGATGGATTCAAAGCATTGAAATGTCTTGGCCATATGCGCTTTCCTTCCTCCACCCTTGAAAAGGGGTCGGCGGCACCAGTGCGTTGGCCCATTTATTAATGGAAAAAATGCTGCTTTCATGCTTTGTACACCTAGTAGAGTTTGCACTTGCGGGCATTTGCACCAAGCAACTGCTAACTGGTCCACCAAACGCCGTTCGCCATCGTTCGCCGACCCGAACTTCTACAAGGAATCTTACACCAGTTTGCACACCAGTCCCTGCACCTCGATCCCTTTACACGTCTGGATGAGAAAGCAGGATTGTCTGCTATGATTCAAGTGTAGTATCTGATCTTATCGCCTGTCAGGCATTTCAGTTCGAGACAAAAGGCCGTTGCCTTGCCCATTAGATTTGAGGGTTATGAGCACAAAGCTGTGAGCGTAGAACATTCGCAATGGCTTGACACAGAAGATCTTCGTCGATGCCTCCCAATCCTTTCTGGAGCACCAACACCCAATTTGAGTCCTGAGGCCTTGGAGTCTTGGAATAGGCCAGTACCCCAAGATGATGAGTCTGATGCCTCCTCACTTGCCCCTTTGCCAAGCGGCCAGCTGGACAGTGAGAGGGATCCGATGCATGCCTTTCAGACGTTTGGTGACACCAAGAATGAGATCACTTCTGGTGGTGAGATGCCTCACGACATGGACCCGAATGGCACGGAAGTGAATGAGAACCTAGAGCCTCTAGCAACTGGAATGGGTGGGAAGCGAGCGGAAAGGATGGGGAATAGGAGGGGTCAAGTAGATGGGAAGACTTCTGCTGGGGCAACTTCAGTTCAAGGTGAAGGTGAAAAGCGTGAAAATTATGGGCATGAGAATGGTTTGGAAGAAGCACTGGGGGATCAAGTGTTGCAGCATTTTCAACAAGAGGCGATGCGCCTTCAATCTCAGAACAGCATGCTGTCCAAGGAGCTTCAGAAACTTAGAGAAGAGAAACAGCGCAATGAGTTGAATGTCCCGCCGTCTTGGGTGGATCATGCTAGGCAGCCAACACCACCTCCTAGGAAAACACCACCTTCTCATGACTCTCAACAAGAATGGATATCTCCGGAATCTTTCAGATGCACTCCGAATGGTACACGTGCCCCCTCAAGGCCACCACCTCCATCTCCACCACCCTTGCCTGCTTGAGTTGATCTGCAGCGCTATGAGGCTTGCCCGGAGCCACCAAGGAAGTTTCGTGGCATCATGGGTGTAGAAAGATAGATAGATAGATGGATAGAGAGATAGATAGATAGATAGATAGATAGGTAGATAGATAGATAGATACATAGAATATAGGTTGGTAGGTGGGTAGATAGTCAGAGAAAGAGAGAGAAAGAGAGGAGACCTCAAGCACCTTTCGGTCCATCAGTGGATTCGCTCTGCCATCCCTGATTCACAACAACCAATCTCTCCTATAGGTTTCCTATTTTTGAAACTTCCGCCACCGCCTTGTGCGGTACTACTGGTATTCTACGCACTTTTCAACCAGGTGGACTTGGAGAGAAGAGCCGCTTGCTGGAGGATCTCACAACTGTGCCAACTACAAAACTGCTCAGGAGTCAGTGGCAGCACTACGGCTTTGGAAGCGAAAAGCAAGTCGAGCTGCAGAACTTCGTGCTCAGTTGCCGATGATCCGAACACTGGATGGCATTTCCAAGCCAGTGGCTGGTGGATCCGCACAAGCGAGCTTCAGGATTGCAACTTTCCGTGTGAAGCACAACTTGAATGTTCAGCCTTCACTGGAAAACTTGTGGCTGTTCTTTGACTTGCTGCTGGCAGAAGCTGAGGTTGCAGTTCACTCCACGACTTGCACTAGTGCGACCCCTGGACCACGAACTCCAACGAAGCCTGCAGTAAAAGCAATGCAGACTACTCCATCCTCCGGAGGAAAATCCACTCCATCCTCTTCGACCAGTTCCTGGCCATGCAAGTTTTGGATGTCAGAGGGCGGCTGCCGTCAAGGACAGCGTTGCCGATGGCCGCATCCATGGGAATCTGGCGTTGAAAAGACTGGCCGGTGTTGGAATTGCAGTTCGACTCAACATTTACAACCAGAATGTCCATACAAAACACAGGTGAAGCTACCTGTGGGGGGAGATGGAGATGGAAATGATGGGGGTGGAAATCAGAAGCATGAAAAAGGACAAGGAAAAAATGGCAAAGAAAAGGTAAGCCAAAGGCTGAGACGCAGAAGGTTGCCAACAAGGAGAACTCTCAACCTGATGTCAAAAAAGATGAAGGTGGCAACAAGGGTACAGCGACTGACGACTGCTGAGGAGGAAGGGAAAGGAAAAGGTGATGGATCAGCGGCGGCAGATGGAAACGGCGTCGGCAGTGGCAAGAAGTCTGAGACCAATGGAACTGCAATGGCAATGGGATCCAGTGAGTTGCTCAGCGAGGCCACCAAACTTTTGAAATCACTTCACCTTCCTTCGGTCAAGAAGATCACCCTGCAGGAGCTTGGAGACCCTTTGATGAGCCCTTCAAATCTGATGTTGCTGGGCAGTGGTGCTACTCACTCCCTGCGGAGGGCAAGGATCTGGGATGAGTGGAATCAAGCTCATCAAACTGTAGTGGCATTAGCACAGGGCTCTACATCCAACCTGCGTCTCAAGCATGGCACCAACACACTTTTGTCAACACCTGAGGATGCCAGTTTTGGAAATGGCATTTTGCCTATGGGTGCGCTTTCTAAGATTGGTTTTGAGATTGCCTGGGGCGGGGGAGACTGTCGAGTTCATGGACCAGCTGGAGAAAAGATCAATGTTCAAGTTGTCAATGGATGTCCCATGATTGAATGTCAGCTGGAGAACGACAGCCAACTTTCCGCAGCCAGAGCAGCAATCGTCCGAGCCATCATGCAGCAGCCAGATCTGATGAAACACTTCCGGAGCTGGGTGCCGAAACCCTCTTCACTGCCATGCTCAAAAAGGAATTTCCAGACTTGCCGGATGCCGGCGAATAGTGCCAAAGATGTTAGAGATTGACGTGGAGAAAAATGATGAAGTCGAAGCGATTGGTGCTTCATCTTTTTAGTGGCCCTGATGAAAAGACATGGAGGGCTTTGGGTGATGCTGACGCTATGGTGGTGTGCGTGGACAAGGTTTTGCATCCACGAAGTGATGTGCTCAATGACCACTCATGACGTTCTTGCTGAAGCTAGCCACGACAGGATCTGTTCAGGCCATCCTTGGTGGCCCACCATGCCGGTCTGTATCAGCTTGCCGCTATGCGGATGATGGAGGACCAAAACCGGTTAGAAGCGAGGAGGGGCCCTATCTTCCGGATGGAGTTGCTCTACATGCTGGCTGATCACTACAGACCATCTTGGTGTGAAAGGTTCATCTTTGCCTTGGAACAGCCACAGGATCCCAAAGAATATCGACCACAGCAAGACATTGACAAGCACCTACATGAGCGTCTGGAGAACTGCAGCATGGCAACTCTTCCAGGCCAAATGCAAGTTGACTTTGACATCTTTTGAGCAGGGAGCATTTGGCCACACAAAACCTAAACCTACCACTTTTGCTCACGATCTACAAGGTTTTGAGGAGTTGGAAGGGGCCAAAGCCTTGCGTCGAAGTCAGGAGCTTTGCTGGCAAGATCGTCCTCTTGAAGAACGACTTCAAGAGTCTGCAACTTGGGCACAGTGGGTTTCGGGGTTGAAGGCTTCTTTGATTGAAGGTTTGAGGAGGCAGTTAAAAAGAAGGGATGCCGGGTGCTGTCACATCGGGGCACCGGGCAATGCGGAGGAGGTAACCTGGGACTCTGATGATGATAGCTCAAAGCCCTTGCATCAGCAGCCTCAACCCTGTCCCCTGTCCGCAGTTGCCTTGACAAAGTGAAAGGCTCACATTTTGAACGATCACCAGCCGATGAGACGAGATTGCAGAGTTTGCGTTGAAGCTGCAGGTCAATCTCGACACCACCGTCGAATCCAACATCCAAGTGCCTATTGTCTTTCAGTGGATTTGTCAGGCAAGCTGAAGCGTGGCAAAGATCAATTTGGCTCTGTTGGCACCTATATCCTGATTGGCTGCTACACATTTCCAACCACACTGGATGATGTTCCTCTATGCGGCCCAGGCCAACAATGACCACCAGAGGATGTTTAGATGAGGTGGTGGACGAAGATGGTGTGGACGGCAATGTGGAGGATGGAGAGCTTCCACGTTTTGAAGCTGATGTGGAGGATCGGCCATGTGAGGAGGATGAGGCTGCAACCAACCGGGCCAAGACTGCATATGACAGCTGGATGAAGTTGGTGGAGGAGCATGAACAGGTAAAGGTAAAGACACTGACCTTTGCTGAAGTCATCACTTCAAGAGCTACAGGCCATGTTTTGGAAGGCTTGGCAAAGATCTATGCCAAGATCAGAAGCCTAGCACTTCCAGTGCTGCGATTGCATGCTGATAGGGCCCGGGAGCTGACATCAAAGGCCGTTCAATCATGGTGCCACAGTCGCGACATTGTAGCGACATACACTTCTGGTTCTGATTGGAAAAGCAATGGGCGTGCCGAGAATGAGAGCGGCATTGTGAAGCGACATGCAAAAATTATCATGAGGGCACACAACATCGACGAAGAACGATGGCCCAGCCTTGTGAAACATGCCGCTGAACGACGTTTGCGATGGCAGCTCCAGCAAGTTGGCTATCCAGTGCCTGATCTTTTGCCCTTCTACACCAAGGTTCTTGTCAAGCGCAAGTCCTGGAATCAAAGATATGCTGCATGGATGTGGGAACGTACCCCTGGTCGTGTTTGTGGCCCTGATCCATGGTCATCTTTGACATCAGGTGGGTACTGTGCGCAGCTGGAAGATGGGACTTTTCTGGCATCTACAGATGTGGTGGTGGAACAATCGGAACTGGGAGAGGGTCTGACACTGGATCTGGTGGTTCAAGAGCGACTTCAAGCTCCTGGTGAACAATAAACTGCTGAAGTTCCCAAGCGTCGTTTGCGCTTCAAACAAGGAGTTCCCCAAATAGCCCGTTTGGAGTTGGGTTCCAACTCGGGGGAGAAGGCTGATGTTCAGGTCAAGTGCAACAGTGAGGGTGACCACATGGGAGTCAAGCGGTTGCTCGAGATGCATCAAGAGACCGCGTGCCTGAGGAATGTGTTCTTGTGGGCGATTTGGATCCTGAACAAGCAGCTTGCATTCCAGCACTCGCAGTGCTGGCCAATCAAAAGTTTGATTTGGAACTTCAGTTGCAAGGCTCTGGGCCTGGAAAAGAAACACAAGGAGGAAGAAAAATTCTTGGTGACCAAGACCATCACCACTGAGCAGGTCTATAAAGAATGGGAGGATTGGAAGATCGCGATGATGAGTGAGTACACTTCCATCGTTGATGAGCAGAAAGCTGTGCGACAGGTGACAAGAGCAGAAGCACAGCGTATGGCGGTGGAAAGCAACATCAAGTATGAGGAGCTTCCAAGTAAAGTGGTCTTCACAGGAAAGATGTGGGGAAAAAGAAAAGTGAGAGCCTGCATTTGTGGCAGCTATGAGAATGAAGTTGCCACTGCCACGTATGCAGGGGTCTGTGATGCGTCTCAGATTCGGTGCCTCATCCGCCATGCAGCACTGGAGAAATGGGCCCTGTATGGAACTGATATCAAGTGTGCCTTCCTGAATGCGGAGCGCAAAGACCGCACCGAGCTGATTGCCATGTTCATCCCATACATCTATGTCAAATTAGGTGTGGCGTCACATTCAGATGTTTGGTTGGCTGATGCTGCCATGTATGGTCTTGTGGCCAGCCCGCGTGATTGGGCAGATCATCGTGATGTGACGATACCAACCATGGTTTGGCAAAGAGAAGAGAATGGCAAGAAGTGGAAAGGATTGGAAAGGCACGTTCAGAAGGGCTGCAGGTCAGCACCTTTGGCATTTGCAAGAGGAGTGTCTGGAATCGGGAGGTTTGCAAGCGTGGTCTCGTGGCTATATATTAGTATGTTGATGATGTCCTCCTTGCTGCCAGCGACCCTGTTGCAACTTGCGCTCTCAAGGCCATAGCTGAGGTGTGGGAGTGTGCTGAGGCGGAGAGCAGAGAGGGCGACTTTGAGCAAGCCGGTGTCTTTTTGTGGCTTCGAGATGCAGCAGAACAGCTCTGAGCAAGGTGGTGGCAACTGGATTTCAAGCTCCCTCTGCCTGAGGAAGAGGCTGAATTTGTCAAGTCTGAGAATCTGGATTTGGTGCGCCGTGCCCGAGCTTGCACTGGAGCCATTGCTTTGGCTTGCGACTCCAACAAAGCCAGAGCTCTGTAGGTGTTGCAGCAATGTCAAAACTCTGCACGAAGGCTCCAGAGATCACTATCAATCTGGGCCTTAAGATGATGAGCTACTTGAGGCGTCCTTCACAAGGCATGATCTATGCGGATCACCCTGGACCATCTCATGGTGCTCGTGGCCAGCTGAGCAAGCCGAGATGCGTGCGCACCATTGAGGCATTTTCTGACATCTCCTATGCCTCCACGAAGGGCTACAGGTCTCTTCACAGGGCCAAGTCTACTACTACCCTGGAGCTCCTGTGATGTGGAACAGCAACACTACTCAATCCACTGCTGAGAGCGAGCTTTGTCGGTCTCTGTGAGGCGTTGGTGGGCGGTCGAGCCACAGCGGCGTTGATTGCAACTATACGTGATGAACCTCCTGAAAAATTAGTCAAGCGGCTATGGGGGGACAATGCAGCAGCCATCAGCCTTGCTACAGGAGAAGGACAAGGGAGTTGGAGGACAAGACACTTTCGCATTCGAGCAGCAATTTTGAGATCTGCTCTGCATCACAACGAGTGGGACTTGCCATCTCATGGGTCGTGAATTGGTGGCGGATTTTTTTAAGTAAGATCGTCAGTGGCCCTGCTTTTGAGAAGGCGTTGCAAGATCTCTGTATCGCTGCTGGTGAGGGTAAGGTGCCGAGTGGTGGAGGTGGAGTACAACAAGATCCAGTAAATGCAAAGTGGCGATGATAGTGGGTGCAACGCTGATGTCTGGCGCTGCTGCAACCAGTGAAGATGAGGGTGAAGACCAGCTGTCCTGGTTTGAACCAGCGGCCTACTCCTGATGTGCGTGGGAGCAGTCTATGTGAGTGACAAGATGGTCCGAAGTGGAATGTGGCTCTATAGAAGACTGTTGGGGACATCGGGCAGCCGTCGACGCCTCAACTCGACATGCTGCACTGGAGTAGCAGTGAAGAAGAAAGTGAGAGACGTGTGGCCGAGAATATCGAGCGAGCCAACTACGTGCCTACAGCCGATGTTGATGAACTTCGTGCCATGGTGTCTCAGAGCCGGCGAATCCAAAAGGATCCCCACAACAAGATGCATGGAAGAACTCCAGAGATGTATGAAAATGAGTCGTCTCAGTTGCCGGGGCGTCGAAAAAAGAAAGTTGAGAAGAAACGACTGGATTCAGATGAGGAAGAAGCAGCTGCAGAAAAGGCCAGACACAATGATGAGTTTGCTCGAAAATTTGTCTGGAAGGAGGGCCGTTTTCACGGCGGAGGTCGACACGATAGGGCTCTAAGCAAGCTGCAGCATCCTCTTCTTCTAATGCGATGATTTCTGGCCACAGTGAGCCGCGTGAAGATGCAACTTTTTCACGACAGAGCTCTTCACGTTCGGGCTCTGGTGTTGCGTCATCATCTCAGCAGAGCTCTTCACAATCGGGCTGTGGTGTTGCGTCATCATCTCAGCAGAGCTCTTCACAATCGGGCTGTGGTGTTGCGTCATCATCTCAGCAAGAGCTCTTCACAATCGGGCTGTGGTGTTGCGTCATCATCTCAGGAGAGCTCTTCACAAACGGGCTGAGGTGTTGCGTCATCATCTCAGCAGAGCTCTTCACAATCGGGCTGTGGTGTTGCATCATCATCTCAGCAAGAGCTCTTCACAATCGGGCTGTGGTGTTGCGTCATCATCTCAGCAAGAGCTCTTCACAATCGGGCTGTGGTGTTGCGTCATCATCTCAGCAGAGCTCTTCACAATCGGGCTGTGGTGTTGCGTCATCATCTCAGCAAGAGCTCTTCACAATCGGGCTGTGGTGTTGCGTCATCATCTCAGCAAGAGCTCTTCACAATCGGGCTGTGGTGTTGCGTCATCATCTCAGCAGAGCTCTTCACAATCAGGCTGTGGTGTTGCGTCATCATCTCAGCAAGAGCTCTTCACAATCGGCTGTGCTGTTTGCGACTTCATCAGCAAGAGCTCTTCACCATCGGCTGTGCTGTTGCGACTTCATCTCAGCAAGAGCTCTTCACAATCGGGCTGTGGTGTTTGCGACTTCATCTCAGCAAGAGCTCTTCACAATCGGGCTGTGCTGTTGCGACTTCATCTCAGCAAGAGCTCTTCACAATCGGGCTGTGCTGTTGCGACTTCATCTCAGCAAGAGCTCTTCACAATCGGGCTGTGCTGTTGCGACTTCATCTCAGCAAGAGCTCTTCACAATCGAGCTGAGGTGTTGCGCCATCATCTCAGCAAGAGCTCTTCACAATCGGGCTGTGGTGTTGCGACTTCATCTCAGCAAGAGCTCTTCACAATCGGGCTGTGGTGTTGCGTGTCTGCACTTCATCTTCACAATCGGGCTGTGCTGTTGCGACTTCATCTCAGCAAGAGCTCTTCACAATCGGGCTGTGCTGTTGCGACTTCATCTCAGCAAGAGCTCTTCACAATCGGCTGTGGTGTTGCGACTCATCTCAGCAAGAGCTCTTCACAATCGGGCTGTGGTGTTGCGTCATCATCTCAGCAAGAGCTCTTCACAATCGGGCTGTGCTGTTGCGACTTCATCTCAGCAAGAGCTCTTCACAATCGGGCTGTGCTGTTGCGACTTCATCTCAGCAAGAGCTCTTCACAATCGAGCTGAGGTGTTGCGCCATCATCTCAGCAAGAGCTCTTCACAATCGGGCTGTGGTGTTGCGACTTCATCTCAGCAAGAGCTCTTCACAATCGGGCTGTGCTGTTGCGACTTCATCTCAGCAAGAGCTCTTCACAATTGGGCTGTGCTGTTGCGACTTCATCTCAGCAAGAGCTCTTCACAATCGGGCTGTGGTGTTGCGACTTCATCTCAGCAAGAGCTCTTCACAATCGGGCTGTGCTGTTGCGACTTCATCTCAGCAAGAGCTCTTCACAATCGGGCTGTGCTGTTGCGACTTCATCTCAGCAAGAGCTCTTCACAATCGGGCTGAGGTGTTGCGTCATCATCTCAGCAGAGCTCTTCACAATCGGGCTGTGCTGTTGCGACTTCATCAAATCAGCGATCTTCACAGTCGGGCACTGGCAGTGCGGTGGTGGCAGCTTCTGTGGTGAGAGTCATGGCATTGAATCCGCAAATCCGTGGAACCAGTTTCAGCATCAATATAGCGGCCGAAATTGGGGCTCTGATAAATTCAGAGCGGAATATTGGAAGTACAAAGCAACTGGACAATTTCCAAAGTAGCGTCCAGTGTGGAGATATTTGAATGCCTTGGGTCAAGTCATCCATTTGGAATTTCGTTTTCTCCCCGAGAAAAGGGGGAGTCTGGATGAGAAAGCAGGATTGTCTGCTATGATTCAAGTGCAGTATCTGATCTTATCACCTGTCAGGCATTTCGATTCGAGACAAAAGGCCGTTGCCTTGCCCATAGGATTTGAGACACGAATAAGCGGGGATAGGTAATTTTTCCACTTCAACCTTTCAGGCCACACTGCTGTGGCGCCAATCAGTTTCGACAGGTCCACACCTGGCAGCTCTTACACCACAAACCTTTTGCACTAGGCAGCCTTCACATCGTGCATCTCTTATCAAAGGAACTTTCTTAAGGAGACGCCGAGTTACGAAGGACTGCATAGAGTGGACCCCAAAAGAAGTCTTAATGGCCAGCAGGTGCAAAAAGTAAAGATTTGCAAAGAAACCTCCTGCAAAAAATCGCTTTGCTTTGGCATGTGTGTATACAGGCTTCGTCAGACTGCGCCCGCGCGAGATTTTGGTGGGATCTTCACCAGATGTTCGCCAGTTGTTCGCCAAATGTATCGGCATGCACGTTCAGTGGCATGGACGCAAACAGGGGATTCTCTCACCATTTGCGCACGTACCATTACTGTGTTTTGCAATCAGCTGCTGCGAAAGGCATTGTCAGGGACGTCCCAAAGTGCTGTAGACTCATGTAGACTCACGTCTGCGCATGTCCGGTTATTGTGTTTTGCTGCGAAAGGCATTGTCAGGGACGTCCCAAAGTGTTGTAGACGCATGTAGACTCACATCTGTGCATGTCCTGTTTTTGTGTTTTGCAATCAGCTGCTGCGAAAGGCATTGTCAGGGACGTAGACGCATGTAGGCTCACACCTGCGCATGTCCTGTTCTTGTGTTTTGCATTCAGCTGCTGCGAAAGGCATTGTCAGGGACGTAGACGCATGTAGGCTCACACCTGCGCATGTCCTGTTATTGTGTTTTGCATTCAGCTGCTGCGAAAGGCATTGTCAGGGACGTCCCAAAGTGTTGTAGACGCATGTAGACTTACACCTGCGCATGTCCTGTTATTGTGTTTTGCAATCAGCTGCTGCGAAAGGCATTGTCAGGGAGGTCCCAAAGTGTTGTAGACACATGTAGACTCACGCCTGCGCATGTCCCGTTATTGTGTGTTGCAATCAGCTGCTGCGAAAGGCAATGTCAGTGACGTCCTAAAGTGTTGTAGACTCATGTAGACTCACACCTGCGCATGTCCTGTTATTGTTTTTTGCAATCAGCTGCTGCGAAGGGCATTGTCAGGGACGTCCCAAAGTGTTGTAGACTCATGTAGACTCACACCTGCGAATGTCCTGTTATTGTGTTTTGCAATCAGCTGCTGCGAAATGTAGGCTCACACCTGCGCATGTTCCGTTATTGTGTTTTACAATCAGCTGCTGCGAAAGGCATTGTCAGGGACATCCCAAAGTGTTGTAGACTCATGTAGACTCACACCTGCGCATGTCCCGTTATTGTGTGTTGCAATCAACTGCTGCGAAACGCATGGTCAGGGACGTCCCAAAGTGTTGTAGATTCATGTAGACTCACATCTGTGCATGTCCTGTTTTTGTGTTTTGCAATCAGCTGCTGCGAAAGGCATTGTCAGGGATGTCACAAAGTGTTGTAGACTCATGTAGACTCACACCTGCGCATGTTCTGTTACTGTGTTTTGCAATCAGCTGCTGCGAAAGGCATTGTCAGGGACGTCCCAAAGTGTTGTAGACTCATGTAGACTCACACCTGCGCATGTCCTGTTATTGTGCTGCTGCGAAAGGCATTGTCAGGGACGTCCCAAAGTGTTGTAGATTCATGTAGACTCACACCTGCGCATGTCCTGTTATTGTGTTTTACAATCAGCTCCTGCGAAAGGCATTGTCAGGGACGTCCCAAAGTCTTGTATAGACTCATGTAGGCTCACACCTGCGCATGTCCTGTAATTTTTGTGTTTTCCAATCAGCTGCTGCGAAAGGCATTGTCAGGGACGTCCCAAAGTGCTGTAGACTTGTGTAGACTCACGTCTGCGCATGTCCCGTTATTGTGTGTTGCAATCAGCTGGTGCGAAAGGCAATGTCAGTGACGTCCTAAAGTGTTGTAGACTCATGTAGACTCACACCTGCGCATGTCCTGTTATTGTGTTTTGCAATCACCTGCTGCGAAAGGCATTGTCAGGGACGTCCCAAAGTGTTGTAGACCCATGTAGACTCACACCTGCGCATGTCCTGTTATTGTGTTTTGCAGTCAGCTGCTGCGAAAGGCATTGTCCGTGACGTCCTAATGTGTTGTAGACTCATGTAGACTTACACCTGCAGATGTCCTGCTATTGTATTTTGCAATCATCTGCTGCGAAGGGCATTGTCAGGGACGTCCCAAAGTGATGTAGATTCATGTAGACTCACACCTGCGCATGTCCTGTCATTGTCTTTTGCAATCAGCTGCTTCGAAAGGCATTGTCAGGGACGTCCCAAAGTGTTGTAGATTCATGTAGACTCACACCTGCGCATGTCCTGTTATTGTTTTTTGCAATCAGCTGCTGCGAAGGGCATTGTCAGGGACGTCCCAAAGTGTTGTAGATTCATGTAGGCTCACACCTGCGCATGTCCTGTTATTGTGTTTTACAATCAGCTGCTGCGAAAGGCATTGTCAGGGACGTCCCAAAGTGTTGTAGACTCATGTAGACTCACACCTGCGCATGTCGTGCTATTGTGTTTTGCAATCAACTGCTGCGAAACGCATTTTCAGGGACGTCCCCAAGTGTTGTGAACTCACACCTGCGCACGTCCTGATTTTGCGTTTTGGAATCCATAGTTACGAAAGGCATTGGCAGGAACATTTTAAGTATAGAGAAAAGTAAAGTGGAGAAATACAGAGAAAAGTAAACAAATCGACCGAAACATAGAGAACACTATGCAAAAGTAGAGAAACAGAAAAGAAAAGCATGGGAAAGCAGAGAAGTATAGAGAAAAGTAAAGAAAAGGAGAGAAATAAAGAGAAATGTAGGGAACTATATAGAGATAAAGTATGGCAAAGTAGAGAAATATAGAGACATGTATGGCAAAGTAGAGAAATATAGATAAAGTATAAGGAATTGGAAAATATAGAGAAAAGTGAAGAATAATAGCGAATTATAGAAAAGAGAAATAAAGAAAAGCAGAGAAATAGAGAGAAAAGTAAAGATGCAGAGAGAAAAACCATGAAAAATGTAGAGAACTATAGATAAAAGTCAAGAAAGTTAGAAAAATATAGAAAAGTGAAGAAAAGCAATGAAATATAGAGAAAAGAAAAGAAAAGTAGAAATGTAGAGAGTAAAGTATGAAAAGGTATGGAAAAGTAAAGAAATATACAGAAAAGTATGGTAATGTAGGGAAATATATGGGAAAAGTATGGAAAAGTTGAGAAGTATAGAGGAAAATAAAGAAAAGGAGAGGGAAATAGAGAGACAAGTAAAGAAAAGTATGCAGGAATCTCAAAAAGAATAGAAAATCGTTGTGGACAGTACAAACATGTAGAGTAGAGTAGAGTAGAGTAGAGTAGAGTAGAGTAGAGTAGAGCAGAATAGAGTAGAGTAGATTAGGGTAAAGGAGAATGGGGAACAATGAAGGACAGACACGCAATCACAGAGAATAGAAAGAGCGAAGCGATGGACATCAGCACCACCGTAAGCAAACAACGCGAAACAAAGCAATGCAACCGCCAACCACCTATAAGCAAACACTTTGTTGCAACACGCCTCCTACAAGTTATTATAAATTCCTTTCCTCTGGGGACGCCGCCCGCCTCTTGCATGTTCTACTTGTATACACCAAAAAGCGTTTGCACCAAGCAGTACTTGTTCAAAAGAACTTCAACAACAAGAAACTGTCACATCAGGCTTTTACAACGAGCAGTTTCTTACACAATATCCTTTTCGACCAAGCAGTTTTTTCGCGCATAAGCTGACACCAAACATTTTTTGGGGCAAAAGCCTCTGATTTTGATGGTTTTCATGTTTTCTTCGGTCGACAGGACTATCATGTCTCTGCAAGTTCCGCCTTCATAACAGCCGCCCAAATTGCTGCAAGAATGACAAGCAGGTTTGCCATGGCTTTCACGGGTGTTGATTCGTGGAAGGGTCAATGTTGACAAACTCTCCGCCTCTACAGTCTCTACAGCAGAGGAACCCCTGCTTGATCTGAAAAGTAATGACATACATTGCACCCAGTGCGTTTCACAAACTGCTTTCAGACGGTGACCCAGTCGTGAGGCTGTCGTGGCACAGCCCAGGCTATATATCTGTAAAGACATGCGTGCGTTTCCGAATCCACACAAAGCAACAGCATCTGCACAGTTTTCACAGGTTTCGCGCAGAGGCCGAGTTCGAACTTTGCCATCAAAGATGCTCTCGCTGCCTTCTGGGACCATCTGCATCAGCCGTTGATGGTTCCATGAGATTTGACTAAAATCAAGCCTGTATTACACGAACCCGACCTGTCTAAATCTCTCTGAGCCGGTTGGTCAAATGGGTGGTCACACAATGCGTCGTTCAAACCGTGTGATAGACATCCCAAAATAATAGTTGACAACACTCAGCTGTGTCATTCCCCGTCATTCTACCGTAATTTTCCGTAATTCATAAATCTGCCGTTTTTGCAAAACATTTTTAGTGAAGAGGCCATCTGTCGCGCAAAAGGCTTAACCCGTCATTTCTCTGCCAACCCTTGCGATAAT